CAGATCTATATGTATTAGATAAAGACACACTCCAATTGAATCTATAAAACTGCCAAGATGAGTCCAGATTTTTTTGGAATTATGCAAAAACTGAGATTGGAAAATAAAGATAAAATATTTGCTATGAAACCTCCTTGTGTGGCTCTCTGGGTGATAAGAAGTACAGCCAAGGATGGGAAGGGGTCTCGGTCTCTGAGACTAGAAAGGGTGCAGTGTTGACACTGATGCTCAGGGCACAGAAATATAATCAATGTCAAACAATACAAGACACCTTAAGTGAAAATGAGAACCCCCTTGAGGCAAATTTACTTTGTTACTTTTCAGGGTTGGATTGGTATGTCTGACACTGAGTACAAACTGAAAGGCTTCTGGTGAATGCACTGACCATAGTCCATAAACAACACAGTCACATGGCTGAGGACAGAAAACCCAGGTGCCACTCTGCACATGGCATTGAGACACTCCCAGAAATGAGAACACATTGGGAGGTTGACCCTGTGTGATTCATGCAAGAACCGGGACTCAGTTACAGTTACTCTATAAAGCTCTGTCCTTTATGTAACATAATGACTTCTGCTGAACCCACCTCCACACATCTCATGCCTAGGGTTAGGTTTTGCTTCAGGGGTGTGGGTGCGATATGCATGATCCGACTGGCAACCGAGTGGCTGGATATTAAGCAGTCTTGTGAATTGGAGGGTATGCCCCTTTTCTAAAGCTGACTTGCATGTAGTAAGATTGAATGAACAACCCACCCACTTACTCCCTACTTCCACTTCAGACAGGTTGTGCAAAATGATCATGTAATGGGAACACTGACTGGCTTTTAGATTATACAAACAGACGGAAGTTAGGTGCAACTTCTGTTCTTTCACACAAGCCTGAGATGGCAGTGGGCACTGCAGTGGAGGGAAGAGATGTGTGTTTGCCAGTTCGTGGTTGTAACTTAAGGTAAACGAACTTCTTATAATTTGCAGGAGTCATTTCACACTTATTATAGTCAAGCATGCATTATTTTTATAAAAAGTACTTCTAAAATAGTATTATGGTAGATTAATTAAGGACATCATTAGACACTTTAGGTGAATTTTAAAAAGCCAAGCAGAATAAAATGACTAAGGCCAATACAGCAGAATCTAATCAAAAGCTGCTGTTGTGTGACTCCCCTCGTCCTTTCATGTGATGGTGTGGGTGGTGGTGACGTGGGGGCTGCTGAGGATCCTGGGGGAAGGGGGTCTTCCAGGAACCTGTCCCTGACCGCTCCATGCAGAATTATCCATTTCTTCCTCTCCATGCTGTGTGCCTGCTGTGCTACTCTGTTTATCAGTGTATGCAGTCACAGGTCAGCCCTCCTACCAAAATCCAAGCACACACTTGGCCAAGGTGCACGTTCATGGTGGAAGCATGTCCTAGTTGTCGCTACATCTCCAGGACCTATTTTACTGTCAGGACTGGGAGATGCTGGCAAAAATGTGTGCAAGGAAGGAAGGAAGGAAAGAATTGGAAACAACCCAAACCTGTGGTCACTACTATGTACCTCGGTATCCTCAGGGGGATTGGTTCCAAGACCTCTCGCAGATACCAAAGTCCTCAGATGCTCAAGTCCCTGATATAATAGAGTGTAGCATTTGCATACAACCCATGCACATCCTCCTGTATGCTTGGTTATCTCTAGATTACTTATAATACCTAATAAAATGTAAATGCTATGTAACTAGTTGTTAAACTGTATTGCTTAGGGAAGAATGACAAGAAAAAAAGTCTGTACATGTTCAGTACAGATGCAATTTTTTAAAAAGTATTTTTGATCCTGGGTTGGTTGAATCCACCAATGCAGAACTCACAGATAGGGAGGGCCAACTGTATATCCACTTATGCTCTGAGGTGTTAAAGCATGTGCTAAAATCAAATTAGATCCCTGCACCCAAAGTCTCTGAACTTCAAAAAGGTGAAAAAGGTGGTGCACACATCAGCAGAGAATGACTATTTCAGTTCTTTAAACAAGTCACCTGCAAGCCCAGTAACAACTTTCCTGACAAATAGCAAAGCAGGATCACTTACTGCAATAAACAGGGTCATATCCACAATTACATAGAGTCTAAGCAATGGGAGTTTCTGGCTCTGAGTTCTTTTGAATGATACTAAGTAGTCCTTGGCTAATCAGGCAATGCAGTGTGGCTCAAACTATGGGGTGCAGGCTGGATGAATTCCTGCAGAGTCTTAACAGCTGCCTTTCGGGGGTGAAACTACTTTTGTGATAACCAAATATACAAACATGTCTCCTTGACTTTGGGATTGAAACAATTTAGATATCCGGCATTCATGATCCAGCACCTCAAACAATGATTCCACACATAGGTCCGCTAACACAGGTCCTTCAAGAAACCCAGGAAATGAATTTGACATGTTTCATAAATTCTTACTGGTCTCTGATATGATTTCATCTTCAACCCTCTGGCTCAGAAAGAATTAGTAAGCTGCCATTACAGTGTTGAGTGACACGTTGCCCCTCACATGCTGCTTTATAAAGAGATAGAAAATATAATCTCTTATGCAGTGCACAAAATTGCGGCCATAACGGGAATAAAATTCACTATAATTGTGTGTTATTTTAGGCAAGTGACAGAAAAAGTTGGATTCATTTATAAATTTCGTCTGAAATTTAAAACCATCACTTCACCAAAATCTAAAACAAAGTACAGAATTATGTATGATCTAAACAGGAATGTGAAATATAACTTAGGAGGAAAAAGATAGATTTCTTTGCAATTATGCTGTGTTCAACTTAACTGGCATGTTGAAACAATACCTCTTTCTCCTCCTCTGTCTTCCCGTGAGCTTTGCTATAGTTGATCGGCGAGTCCCAGCACTCCTGATCGCAGAGAGCCTGATAGAATGCTGCGTTGACCAGAAGGCTGCTTGTTTTGAATGGGGAAGAGGATGGCGTTGGAATAGAAGTGTTAGAGGAGGTTAAGGCTGCGGCTTTGTCCAGGATTCGGTTTTTTTTCATGCTTAAGTCCAATGTGCCATTTTCGTCCACCTCTATCTCAGCTCCCTGGCATACAATAGGAAACAGAAAATATTTAAGCAGTTTGCAGTTATAGCCTAGCCATGTGGGGCTTTTAAGGGATAATTTTAATGTAAGCTTTCATGTGAGTATATCTGCTTTTAAATCTAGCTTTCTGATTTGCACTGGGTGATGTTCACTTCTTAGGCAGACTTTTAAGAACAGCCCCATTAGCGAGCTTTGTGTTTCTGCATTTAAACAAAGTAAGCTTAATATAAATAAGATGTTCCAAATACTAAATCTATTGGCTAAAACTGTTATATATATAGAGAGAAGAATATATATAACAGTTATGTAAATATTTTTTAAAGTTTAGCTTTAAATCTTCTTTTCTTGTTTACAGAATTATCAATCCCAATTCATCATTTAAAACATAAACATTTGTGTTTATCAGACAGCACATATAATTTCCGGATCCTCCAAATCACAATATAAATCTAACATGAGAAATATGCAAAAATAACTAGTTGGAAGTGATTTTTTCTTGGAATATTAGATTAATACAAAAGGAACATTTTACCCTAGGTTATCTGAACTAGAAAATCTTTGTTAAATTGTGGGGAGGGAGAGGGGAGGCAGACAGTGCAAACCATACCTCACTCTGGGGTCTTTCACGTGACCACTTGGGGTTTAAGTTCTACAGTGAAAACTTCAGAATAAAGGTGTTTATTTTACAGAGACTTGGTATGAGACTAACTCTATCTCACAATGTTTCTCTTTAGGATACATTTGCCAAGTGTTTTTTGTTTTTGTTATTGTTTTTTTTTTTTTAAGGAACAGTACCTCATTCTGTATTTGGTTCATTTCCCAAACTGCTCATTTGCTCTGGATCTTCTACAAGATGCACACTGTAGGACAGCTTGTATGGGGTCATGAACTGTAAATATTACCATGCAATAATTCTCTAAAGGTAGGAAGAACATGCCTGCCATTTTTAAAAATGGGCCAAATAACACCTTTCTGGTATTTTCACCCGCATCCATCAACTCATAATTAACTTCCTGACAATTTCTCTATTCTTTTTCCTTTTTGCTGGCAAAGCAGGAGGAATCTTCCTTGAATATGTTAGCAAGATCCCTAATTCAGGTGGTAACCAGTGACTTCCGTGAGCAGAACTAGCTAGAATTGCTGCTTGTGCCGATTTGGAAAACAAAAACACCTTTTCTAGTTGCTTGTTTTACCTGTAAAGTTTATATTTTCAGCCAGCCTATGAGATAGATATGCTGTGTTATATTTGTGGGAGGTAAATACACTTCTAATATGTTGAACTAAGATGCTTTGGCCATATCTTTCTGTTCGTTTTTAGTAAATAGTTTAATCTCTCGTGATAGTTTTAAGCCCCGAATTTGGCAGTACGGCTTATCCGGGATAATAACTTAGTAACCACAACATCTTATGCCATCTGTATAATATCAAATACATTTTTATACTAGCATTAATAAACCTTAGTTACAAAAATCCAAGACATTAACCATGTCAGTGCCACGCGCTTTCTCTCCCCATGATCTCACAATGTATTCTGCCAGGAGCGCATCAAAACAATTTTTGGCTTCATAGCTGATATGTAACTATAGCAATGAAATGGAGCCATGGTAATCAAGTTTAATGGCCAACGTAAAGTAAAATGCTAAATATTGTAGTTGCTGACATTTTTCATAAAAAAAAATAAAAAAAAACTTGGGTTAAGACTGCACAACCAACATTCACATAAAATTCCAGACCTCTGTGACAGATGGCTTAGGAAAAAGAAGCCATGTGACTGGGCTGCAGAGTTTTATAGTGCAAAACCCATAAATAGTGCAGATTCAATCTCTCTGAAAAATATCAACTATTCCAAGACAATACCAATATACATTTTAGTTTTTAAAGAAAAAATTTCAAATAGTAAATCTTAAACAATGAGAGATTCTAGGAATTGTTAATGATTATACATCTTGAGTAATCATGGCATGGTTGAAAAAAAAAATCACTCCTTGTGTTTAAAAGAGGCGCTTTTCTGTATCCCGCACCCCAGCCGGCTGCTCTGAGCACCTGACTTCACTGGGAGAGAGCAGGGCTGCACTTTGGGGAGCAGGGTACAGATGGGCTTTAAGTGAGCGCACAGATGCGTTCCACAATTGCACACAGTAACAGAGAAGGGCCCCTTTCTGCCCATAGCTGGGGATCACACGCTTACAGCATGGGTGTTTATTCAGAGCAGTATCAATAGGCATCACTTCTCTCTGTGCTTGAAGCTCCAAATGGCAGCACAGAAAGGAGGGGAGGGTGGGAGAGGCCAGCAGGGGAGGAGAGCTGGAGCCACAGCTGACGTGCTTCTCCCACCCCCCAGATCTCTAATATTCTCATTTCTCAAAGTGCTGTTTTGGAACCTTATTTTCAGTACTGAAACGGAAATTTAAGCGTTTTTTTGAGGCTAGCTGTAGGTCTAATACTATTCACATACTTTCCAGATTAGAACATCAAAGGTCATCAATTTCAGCCACTTCAGAGTTACAGATGCTACCTCCAATTTATTTATCCATTAAATTATTGATGAAGTACTTAATATTTTCAAGACACTATATATTGGGGGAAAGAAAATTTAAAAATAGATGGTTCCTGCCTTCAAGGAGCTTATTTTACACATATAGGAGATTTCTGGTGAAAAGTAATTTAATAAACATAAATTATCACTAAACTGAAAGCGGAAATAATTACTCGTTATTCCTTATCTGCACTATAAAATAAGAAGTGACCTAGATGTCCACCAACAGAGAAATGATTAATGAAATTATGCTACATTTATTTCATGGCACATCATACAGCCAGTAAAATCATAATTATGAGGACTGTTTCTACAAGGAAACTACTTATATCACTGCAAACAGGGCATGTGACATTCTTACTTTGTATACAAGTACAAAAAAAGACAGAAATTTGTCTTCTGATGAAGAACAAAAGAAAAAACACAAAAATATTGTACATTTAGAGGATATGCTTATGGCTACTTTTCTCCATTATTTTCCAGGCCAATGATAATATTACATTATTTCAACAGGTAGAAATGATCATACATTCAAAGTTGGGGATGAAGAACAAAATTATAATTTTACCTTAAATGTTATAATTGTGCAAATTACTAATTTTTCAAATATTGATAAAATAAGACAGCATTGCTTTCCCTACTTGGCAAATTTTCTGTTAATAAAGGACTGGTCACCTACCCTCTTTTCCTTTTTGACTTGGCTGAGAGGCAGTGCACAAACTAGTGTCAGTCTGGTTCTGCTGTGATTAGACCCTGGCTTTCACCTCGCAGCTCATAGTCTTTCCTTCTTGCTTGAGGGTTTTTTGTGTGGGGAATATCTTTTCTGCATTAAAAGCTATCTTAAATATGTTTTCAAAGTAGGCAGGATATTAAGAATAAACAACTGAAAATATCTTATTCTCACTAAATGGTAATTGAGCATTAAGACCATTAAAATTATAAATTTGTAAAATATACTCAACATAAACAGAATAATGGAATTCAGAGGAAAAATGATAATATAAGGCATAGAACTTAAATGAAATTTATAATCACTTTTCTAAAATCTTTGGGACTTGGAATCATGGTCTGTGAAACCTCTCAGGTGGGTCAAAAGTCTACGATCTTTAAGATCTTTAAGAAGAGAAGAAGTCAGACAGCTGTGAATTCAAATTTCAGTTCCAGCAGTTATAGGTGTGCCACTTAGAGGAAATCATTTAATATCTCTGTCCTACTGTTCCTTCATCTGCAAAACAGGATAATAATATCTGCTTTACAAAGATTCTAGAAGGATTAAAAAAGATTAATGTGAGCAAAGTGCTTATTTACAGTGCCTGGCACACAGTAGGAGTTCCGTAAATGACATCTAATAATGATGATGATGATGATGATGATGATGATGATGATAATGATAATAATAATAATAACAACAACAACAATAATAATAGTTTGGCTGGGTTTTTGAATACCAGGTCTCTAGGCTACCATACACTGGGCTAAAAGAGCTAGTTACTAAATATCTACGTTTTTTGCATCTATACGATCAGGTTCTTGCGATGCCCGACCCAAGACCCTGATAACATTTCACTCACAATATATGGTGGAATCTGTCCCATTGTTAGAGTTACTGGAAAAGGCTCCTTCTGGGCTCTAACCATCCAGAGGGCCGCCAGGCTCTTCCTGATATCAGGCGGCAAGAGTGGCGATGCCGCCTCACGTCGTTTCTAGGCCGTGTTCAGCACAAAACAGACTTTGAACTTTAAACATTTCAAGCAAGTGTCAGTTTTTTGTTTTCTTTTAAGGCACACTGTGCATATGCCATTTTGTCTAAACAGGTGGGGAAAACACCAAAACAAACAACAGAATGCTTGGCAAGCTGCAGCGATGAGGATAAAGATAGACTGTGAAGCATGCTCCTACCTCTGCTGGCGGCGGTGGGGAGAGGAAAACGGGGAGCGTATGGGTGTGGGCACCGGGCGCAGGGCGCAGGGCACAGGGCACAGGGTGCTGGGCACAGGGCGCAGGGCACAGGGCTCAGGGCGCCGGGCGCCGGGTGCAGGGTACAG